TCGCTACAAGCTCCTTTGGTGGCCTCGCTGTTCGTAGGTATGAGATCGCTGATCTCTCTTTTTCGTTTGCGTTACACAAATTTGTGGCATTAAACTGTTTGATTGATTGACTGTTTTGTTCCAATTTGTTTTGATTTCAGTATTATATGCTTGTAAATGCGGCCTTTTGAATTAATTCCAATTGATTCACTGGTTTTCTTTATTTCAATACTTGAGCATATATTTTTCCTTTGTCATCTACAAAGCAGATTGGTATTTTCCTTCCAAGTTTGTGTCGGAAGATGGCGATAGTACTCCTCATGAGGTCATTGTCATGAAATTATCTGGTTTTCTTGCTATGGCCTTACAGAGGGCATATATTTCTTTCTTAGTCTCTCCTGTCAATGCACAATCGGCCAATATTCATATCCTGTCACCCAATACTTAGTTATCACTCTTGACGGATTGCGTGATTCCTGTTTACTCTATGGGGAAGTTACTCCCAAGAGGACATGTGGTTAATATTTTTGAATTTTGTTCAAAACATGTCTAAATTTAGTTATTTATGGTTGTGAAAAAGCGTGGAGGAATTTCTAAAAGCTCTGTTATTTTGTTTTGAGTAAAGGATCCGTAGTTGCTATCACTAGTTATTCTTTGGTGCTTCGTGGTCATCTTTAAAGCAAGTAGGTTGTTTATGTACTGATTGTGTCGGAAGATGACAATATTAATGAATCTCCTCCACAACATAATCATAGTGGAATATTCTTTTCTTTTTCCATTTATAAACTGTGGAGGATACAATCTGGACTATCTTTTCCTGTGGTGTGTTGGAGTATCTCATCACATAGAATGTTAAATTTTTTAATATGCATTTTACATAACTTACCTTTGCCATTACTTGTTCTTTTAGGGCTTGTTATGGTGTTTTGCGATTTATCATGGAAAGTGGAGCCAAAGGATGCGAGGTTTGTTCTTTTTTTTTTCTTTCTAGGTTCATTAGTTTTCATCAACTGTCTTTGGTGCTTGTGCCGAATATTATATTTATTATGTGGACAGGTGATTGTAAGCGGAAAGCTGAGAGCACAACGTGCTAAATCCATGAAGTTCAAGGATGGTTATATGATTTCTTCTGGTCAGCCAGTGAAGGAATATATTGATTCTGCTGTTAGACATGTTCTTTTGAGACAGGTTTTCACCTTTAGTTCATAATCTTTTTTGAGATAATTATCGTCTACCCATTTATTTAAGTGGGAAGCCATTTATAATTGTTTGTCATTTGATCAAATGTTCTATTAAATTGCAGGGTGTGCTTGGTATTAAGGTGAAGATCATGCTTGACTGGGATCCCAAGGGCAAGCAGGGCCCAAAAACTCCACTACCTGATTTGGTCACCATTCATGCTCCCAAAGAGGATGAAGAGTTTATCCGGCAACCGGTATTGGCAACTGATATCGAGGTCCCAGTTGCTTGAGCTCTTGTGGTGATGATATGTCTTTAGTTAATCAATTATATTTTATGCCTAGTATCAGATTGTTTTAAATTTCATCTTTGAATACTGAGATGATGGCAGACTTTTAAAGGGTGCTGGTGTTAGTGTCGAATCAAATGTTTCTCCAATTTTGTTATACAGTAATTTTGTTTCAGGGTTAATTATCATCAATGGTTTTGGTTATTACTTTATTGCATTAACTTTGTCACTTAATTTTTCTGGAAGGGCTTCTTTTTTACTGAGTTGTGTTGTTGATGCTATTGAGTGCGACTGAGGAGGTTGTTAGATGTAACTAGTTTAGATCTCCTTTAATAAATAATTAGCAGAGTCATAGGCGGATGGATGGTTTGAGTTACAACAGAATGCTTTCTTTTGAGGGTGAGACAGAAAGGGAGTGTTGAGTAAGGATGTAGAAGGGCATTTGCAGGAATACATCAAGATGAAAGACTGACTAATAAAGTAGACAGACAATCCTTGTAGGGATTCCATTGCTCTGGTGTTTTAGAAGTTTTTTAGTTTTTAGAATCTTCAAAATAGAATCATTGTAGGGATGGATAGCAAGAAGCTAATGGAAATTCCACATTGGGTATGACTTTTCTTTTGAAGAAACATTCAATTAAAATAAATTAATGCAAGACCGAATGTATAGTCAAACAGTCTTGTTTCAAGTAAAAAGAAATCTTACTTAATACACACCTCCCCCCCTAGTTGAAATCTTGCAAACCTTGGGAGCATCATTAAAAGTACTTGGAACCATAATACACTATCTTTTCTTTCTACCATACTATCATCAGTAGGCCTCTCATAGAAAGACTGCTGATTCTTGTGTCCACTCATTTCAAAGACGCGAAATTGAAATCCTTTTTGTCATTGCTAGTCAAAGTTTTGGAGGAAACTAAAAATGAACTCCCATTGCTCATTGCTAGTCAAAGATTATGTATGTTTTTATTTTAATTATCTTATACATTCTTGTTATTATATTTGTAATATGATTATTACGTCAAAACACTTAGATATTGAAATTGATTTAATTATCACGCCTTAATTTTTCTGTCATATCTCCATAAAGTACTAAAAATGGAATACCCTAAGATTAATGGATTTACTTGAACTTGGTGGAAATGTTTGACATATTACAAATATTCTTAAAACGTCTGACCAATCTTTATCAAATTTCACTACAAAAAAAAAAAAATTACTAAACTAAATAAATAAATTTTATCTTTTAAAATGATATTTTCAGCAAAATTCTACAAGCATGACACATTTTAATATTTTTATTTCTTCAAAAATCGCACTGACTTATTTAGAAATCAATTTTCTTTAGTTTATAATATACCTTTTTATTTTAACGAAGAAATAGATATTCCTTAAAAATTTAATTGGATTTATATTAAGAGATAAAATTTATTTCTTGTTTAAAAGAGGTCAAAATTAAAGTTAGCACAATATATACTGTATGTGAATTATTTACAACTTCGGAAGAGTTGACGTATAGTGCTCTAAATATTTTTATAAAGAACGTATTGTTATATCATAATTCTAGAGAAAATTTAATTAATTTTTTAACCGAAATGAATGTCATATCCACACAACGAAAATGTTTAATATCGTTTATATTAAAAAAAAAATTACTAAAGATTTATGCGATTGAAATAAATGCAATACTAGATCAAAAGTTTATTACTTCAAATATTTTTAAAGTATCTCAATTCAATAATATTGTGTAAATTTTTATCCAATACTTGTATCATTTGATGATGCCATGTGAATCACTAAAAAATATATGCAGTGTATGGCTAAGGACCGGAGCAGACTGCCGTGATACAAAAGATCTTCTTTCTAAAGAGATTCGATTCCGAACTATTGCATGGATATTCATTAAAAAATTAGAAGATTATAAATCAAATGAACTCCTATGTATTGCTTTGTTCGTAGAATAAACTAAATTATTAAGTAGTCACAAACCAAAATTAGAATTAAATCTCCTGCACTTTTGGAATAGCATTCAAAGAGATACACATGGTTTCATATATAGATCATTTAAATGTTTTATATGATTTTAATAGGTGCATCGACAAGATGGACACATGAATTTATTATTTACTTACAACATGGCTTTTGTGAAGTTATTAGTTCAAATAATTCAACTATGACTTATAACTTTTAGATTATACAATCATAAAATATATGTATTGATAATTTATATTCCTATATAAAATGGTTTAGTTAAATCGTTAATTAAATAGTTTTAAAAATTAACAGTTATACCATCTTTTATGAAAATAAAACTTTCTATTTTTATTTAGGGACACTATCTTTTTACATGCAATAATACTTACATGCATAAGACCAATAAGTTATCAAAAATTCTTCCGTACACAGTTAATTTATTATTAAAAATCAAATATTTATCATATTAGAATTTTTAGGTATGTACTATATGTTTCAATTGCTCAATTATAAACATAATATATGTCAGACCTACATATTAAAATCAAAAAGGGTAAATCATAAAATACGAGTATATATTAGAAATTATTTTTTTATTATTATTATTTATAGAATTATCCAAACAATCAAATGTGTCTTGGCATAGAAAAAAATATTTGATAGCAAATCACACACTAAGCCTGTAGAATAAGTTCGGCAATGGATCACGAAATCTTGGCGATCTTCTCTTTCTCTATCTAATGAATGGGGAGTCCGCTCTGAAATCGTCCGTGCGCCCCCCTCCCCCCCAAAGTATATGCTTTAACAGGAATCACAAACAAGGCACAATGAAGTACTCTTTCAAGCCACTCATAAGGAAATTATGCAAACAGTGAAAAGAACTTGCTAGCAAAATGTCAAACATAAATAAAAAAAAAGTGCCAACTTGTTTATGCAATATATATCAGAAGCTACCAAATGAAATAACTTTTGTTAGATGTCAATTGGAATAGCCGCTGGCCAAAAAGGTAAACAAGCTGCAATCTAGACCACCAAAAGTCAACCGCTGAGAGAGAATAACATCTGAACTATAATGGAATGCTGGTGAAAGTGAAAGGCTTTGAATACTAGCATTTTCATGTGACACTAGAAAGTATAAAATACTTTTGTGAATTTTGTGAACTGAATACTTAAGCTTAGAGTGAAAATTCTTATATTGATTGCAAAAACATGGAAATCATTTAATATAAATTGCAAGAGAAATGATAATATTCATCAACACAATCTTAAAATTGCTTTCGACCAGCCACTGGAATATCTAGAATTCGTGGCAAATTTCTGCACTCAGGAGGCCAGGAGCAGAGGAGATAGATGCTGCATTTTGAACATTTAGATTCTGATTCACCAAATTTGCAAAATATATTATGAACAAACTCCAAGGTTTCACCAAAGCAAAAGCTTCTGTTCTTTCAAATTTCATAAACATGCATGGTTTTCAATTAAATTATGAAAAATGGACAAAGATCATCAAAAGAAGAATAAAAAAGATGAGAAGAATATCAAATTTTGTGTATAGAAGTTGAACGCAGGTAGTTCCTTGAACAAATACTACGCCAATGTCTAGCCCATAGACTAAACCCAGAAAGAAACAGTAAAGCGGAAGAGTATAAAGATCAATCACCTGTCAGTGAACCATGGTCTGTATGCCATCCACACCAAGAAGAAATGGAATCATTAACTTGGTTAAGATCACTGGAAAAAGAGATCATGACTCTATTTTTTCAATAATCACCTCCAAGAGCAAAATAGCAATAATAGTTTGACGTGCGTACAACAAATAAGTCCTTTTATAGCGTAATTCTTGGAGTTCAGGCTTTAAAAACACTACATAGCAATTTAAGAGTGATGAAAATTCCAGTTGGAACCAGTCACAACTATCGCTGTCTGCCTGGGGATTGGAAAGCCAAATATTATATCTAGTAATCAGTGCACGAAAGCCAGAATAGTTGA